TCCCCGCCGCCTGCTCCCGCCCACGCGGACGCAGCGTAATTTGAGAGGGATCGCGGCTCTGGGAACGCGGGCGCAGCGCAACTTGCGACGGATCGTGGCCCTGGGAGTGCGGACGCAGCGTAATTTGCGAGGGTTGCTGTCCCTCCCTGGCCCCTCCCGCCCGGCTCTGTGACAGCTGCGCCTTGCATGCGGCAGCGAGAAGGGGGGCACGAGGATCGGTCGCGAGACATCCGACCCAGACCCCCGGCGTCATAACTCTTAACCGTGGAGCCCACGCTCTGAAAAGCCCAGACCCACGACGTGGACCCCCAGCGGTCTGGACCCCTTCTCCTGGACCGCTCTGTTCATCCCGGGCTGCTCATGGACGGCCCCGCGGGCCGGCAAGGGCCCCTCCCCGGAGGACGAAGCTAGCGAAGCACCTCCCGCCGTTGCTTTCAGCTTGGCACGTGTGGCCCTCCAGGACTCTGCCTGGAGGCCTCCTGGATGGGGTCCGAGTAGACGGGGTCGGGGGACCGCGCCGCATCGCCAATGCATCGGCGATGCATCGGCGACGTCGGCGACGCATCGGCGACGTCGGCGTGGAGAAAACCGGGCTCCGCATCGAGCCGCATCGCCGATGCAACAGCGATGCGGCGCGATCCTCCGTCCCCATCTACTCCGACCCCATCTGGGAGGCCTAGACTGCCACAACCTGGAGGCTGCCCTGCTCGGCGAAGCGCCCACGACGCGAGGGGGCCTGGTCGGCACCCGGGCCCTCGGCCCGAGCCGCCGCGCGCAGGGCGGCACTCTGCCGGCCGCGGCCCACTCGGGCCTCGGGGGGCGACAGGGAGAAGTTACTCATCAGGAAGACGAATGGAGGAGGAAGAGGAGGAGGAGGAGGAGGAGGAGGACGAGGATGAGGATGAGGATGAGGATGAGGATGAGGATGATGATGATGAGGAGGAGGAGGAGGAGGAGGAGGAGGAGGACGGCGAAAGACAGGGGGCAAGGCACGAGGGAAAAAAGGAGCAGTGAGCAAGAGGCAGGGACATCCGCCAAGGAGCGGACCCTGTCCGCAAGCGCGAAGCGGCCCTCGCCGCCCCGCTGCGCCGCCGGAGCTCGCGCTTCTCGCCGCGCGAAGCGCGAGCCGAGGGTGCACCTCCGGCGCTGGAGGCGGCCAAGGAGCAGGACGGGGCATCGGAGGAGGAAAAGGTACGGATACCACTACCCCTCCCTCGTTTTCGCCTTCTTGGGCCTCCTGGGAGGCCCTCGTCGCCACCGCTGGACTCGCCCCGAAATTCTGGTCAGAACGCACCCCAGGAGAGGTCCGGGGAATAGCGGTATCGGTAGGAAGAAGAGGCGGAGGCGGAGGCGGAGGCGGAGGCGGAGGAGGAGGAGGAGGAGGCGGAAGAGGATGAGAAGAAGGCGGAGAAGGAGGAGCGAAAAAGAGGGGATACACGACGAGGCCGCCGCATCGTCGCCTGAAGGCTTACGCACGTCGTCCACGAAGACCTCGGGTCCTCTAGCCGGCCATGCCAGAATAATGGTCGCTGAGCTCGAGCGCTTGGATCGACCAAGCAGCCAGCTAGGCGGCGCGATACGGAAATATAGAGACGACACGGGGCCGAGCGACGGGAGAAGCACGAACGACGGGGGAGGGGCGACTACGAGAGCAGACGCGACAACCGTCGAGCGTCGTTCGAGCGCTCACGCACGTCCAGCGCACGTCGGCCATCCTGGCACTCCAGCTGGCCCAGGCAACATGATGGCCATCAGATTCGCGCACTCTGGCTGCAATGGCTCCCCAGCCAGTGAACCACGCGCCCTCCGGGCGGGCTCCACAGGACGGCACGGTGAAGCTTGGAGGCGGCAGGGGGGTCTGAACCGGTTGGGGCCACAGAGTATCGGCCAAGAGGGAAGGGGGTTGAGGCCATGCCAAACCCAGTCAAAATCGGTCCCCGGACCCCTCCCGGGGCCCATCCCGTGCAGTTCCTCACCAGACATAAATGTTTGACGGTCCTGGGGCCCGAAAGCGGGCCTCCATAGGCCAACAAAAAGCAAGCAACAACAACAACAACAACAACAACAACAACAACAACAACAACAACAACAACAACAACAACAACAACAACAACAACACTAACACTAACACTAACAACAACAACAACAACAACAACAACAACAACAACAACAACAACAACAACAACAACAACAACAACAACAACAACAACAACAATAACACTAACACTAACACTAACAACAACAACAACAACAACAACAACAACAACAACAACAACAACAACAACAACAACAACAACAACAACAACAACAACAACATCAACAACAACAACAACAACAACAGCAGCAGCAGCAACAACAACAACACTAACAACAACAACAGCAACAACAACAACAACAGCAACGACGACAACAACAACAACAACCACAACAACAACAGCAGCAGCAGCAACAACAACAACAGCAACAACAACAACAACAACAACATCTTCCTGAACCCAGAACCTAAAACCTCGCCCCCCTTTCCTGCTCGCCGGAAGCAGTGCTGGGCCACCTCAGACCCCCAGCCGGCTCCAACCTTCAGGCTATCGGGCGCCCCGTTCGCCGGAGGAGGGGCATCACTCCAGCCCGCGGAGCGCGGCTCGCGGTTGCCTTCGCGCCACTGCTGGCGACCCGGCTCCCGCACGCCTCTCCGCGTTAGCCCTCCTCCCAGTCCACCTCGGCTAACCCCCCGTGCTCGTCAGCCTTCCTGCCGCATCCTCGACTCCGTTCCCCACCATCCTCCCCGTCGTCCCCCCGTGCTCATCAGCCGTCCCCCGTCGCCCGCCACTTCCAAGCAGCCGGGCCCGAAGACAGAGGATGACCGAGAGGACGTACCACCCTTCCTGGGGCAACATGCGAGTGAGAGGACATGGAGAGGGCCTTCGGCTTTGCGTGGACGACCTGCCTGTCGGTCGCCACCGCAACTCTCGCGTCTTCAGACAGGCTGTCTATCATCCACCTCGTGCTCGTCGTCGTCTGCCCAGCTGCCCCAGCAGGCCGCAACGCTGTGAGCTCCTGGCCGGTCGACCACCACCTGCTCCCCAGCCGCGCTGAAGCCCATGATCTCCTGCCCAACATGACCCCTCCTGCTGCTGAATGCCTGTCCTCCTTGCTCCCTGCTACACCTCCCTCCTGCCGCCTCTCCCAGCACTCATCCTCTCCCTTCTCCAATTCATCCTCTTCCTCCTCCTCCTTCTCCTCCTCCTCCTCCTCCTCTTCCTCCTCCCTCTCCTCCACCTCCTCCTCTTCCTCCTCCACCTCCTCCTAGTACTACCTCCTCCCCCTATCCTCGCTCATACTTCTTCCCTCCTTCCTTTTTTCCCTGAACAGGCTTGCCTAAGAAGTTCTTACTTGGTTAAAAGTTGGTGCCTCTGATTCTTGCGTTGCCCGTTCCTCGGAAGTTCCCCGGGTTCCTCCGGTTCCTCGGGTTCCCCGGGTTCCTCGGGTTCTCCGGGTTCCCTAAGTTCCCCTTGTTCCCCGGGTTCCTCGGGTTCCCCGGGTTCCCCTTGTTCCCTGGGTTCCTCGGGTTTCCCGGGTTCCTCGGATTCCTCGGGTTCCCCGGGTTCCCCTGGTTCCCCTGGTTCCCCGGGTTCCCTGGGTTCCCCGGATTCCCTGGGTTCCCTGGGCTCCCCGGGTTCCTCGGGTTCCCCGCCCTGGGTGTTTCGAATTCTTAGTATGCCCGTTCCAAGCAATGCTAAGCAATGCCAAGCGATACCAAGCAATGCGAAGCAATGCCAAGCAATGCCAAGCACTTCCAAGCAATGCCAAGCAATGCTAAGCACTGCCAAACACTGCTAAGCAAAAGCCGAGCAATGCCAAGCAATGCCAAGCAATGCCAAGTAATGCCTAGCACTGCCAAGCAATGCCAGCAGTGGCAGCAGTGCCAAACAATGCCGAGCAATGCCAAGCACTGCGCTCATGCAATAAGAAGCTATCCCCTAATCGGGGTCGCGCCGGGTTCGCATTCCTTCGCCCTCCATCGTCCCTGCTCCCTGCTCCCTTGTCCCTCCTCCCTCCTTCCTTCCTCCCTCTTCATCCTCCCCCCTCCACCTCATGCACAAGCGGCCCAAGGCGCGTTGATTTGTTGGCTCAAACTCGTCATGGTGTCGTGCCTCATGCCTCCACTTGAGGGACGCCAGGGCTGCCACTGATGTCCGTATATGTGTGCTGCTCCCAGCGACGAAGATGGAGCACATTTTGGTCAAGGGATCGGATCGCTTGTATCCAGTTTTGTGCGCCGCAATCCCGAACAATGAACGCTACAGGTCTCGGGCGAAGGCAAAACGAGCTGGAGTAGTTCATCGCTGTGTTTATCGATTGCCGTCGCGACTCCGCTATGAATTTTCTTTGGTCAGGTCGTTCTTGCTTGGATTTCCTCTTCCTGTGCCTCATCGGCGAAGTCCATCCCAGGGGCGGTGGGAGCGGAGGCACAGGCGCTTTGCAAGAATCCCCCCCTTTCCTTAGGCGTACTTCAGGGTGGTGGGCAGCGGAGTTTGTGTAAGGAAGGCGTGCCATATCTGGCTGCGGACGTTGTGCGATTGTTCGCTAGCGGCAGGCAGGCTTCCGAGATGTTGATACGATCACCTTTTTGGCTATCGGCATGCCGTCTTTGTCGTACCCCTCGGCGCAAGCCATCGTTCGTGGTAAAGCTATGCGGTTTGCAAGCTATGCTTTTGTCACGGTGATATCCTGTATGCGCTGATGGACGTTGTGTGCAGTATCCGCAGCGGTGACCATCGTGGTCTCAGCGTGACTTTGTGGATGCGTGGATGGTGTGGCCGTGTGCTGGTGGAGGGACTCGACGTGGCTACATATTGCTCTTGGGTGAACGCCAGCACTTTCAGCAGGGTCGTCTTTACGTTCTTCCTTCTCCTGAAGTTGCTGGGGAACTTCAGAAGATGGCATCTGGTGTTTGACAGACTACTACGTGGGATAGCTAGTAGCCCTCTCCCCACCCTCCTGGCCGTTCCCCTGTCAGTCCTCCTCTTCCTCCTCCTCCTCCTCCTCCTCCTCCTCCTCCTCCTCCTCCTCCTCCTCCTCCTCCTCCTCCTCTCTGTCCTCCCTCCCAACCCTCTAGTTATTCCCAATTCCCTGCTCCCTCCTCCCTGCTTTGACATCCCTCTTTTCTCCCACTCCGTCCTTCGTCGTCACCCTCCCCTCTCCTCGTCTCTCCTCCCTCTGCCCTCCGTCCTCCTCCTCCTCCTCCTCCTCGTTCGATCTCCTCCATCAGCCCGTCTCCTCCCCCGTGCTCACATCTCCTCCTCCCTCCTCACGCATCCCCCCTCCTCGCTCCCTCCGCCCCTCCCCCACGGCTCCTTCTCGTAAGGACTCGGGTGCTCCCTGACCTGAGGCCCTATGGCCATGACTGGTTTTCGATGTGGCGCGCTGCCAACCGCCGGAAAATCACGGACTTGAAACGCCCCTTCAGATAGGGATACGAGCCTTCTCTGGATAGGAAGCGCCATCTCCGGATAGGAAGCGTCCCTTCGAAATAGACCCGATACTTCGTTGTCCCTAGCCCATTCTCCAATAAACCCCCCTCTCCTCCCAGTTCCACTATCCAATTATTTACATCCTTCTTCCTGTACAGCCGACCCACCCAAGTTCCCGTCCTACGGGTGCTCTTTGCCACGGGGTCTCACTCGTTCACTTGGGACATCCAGGCGCGATGATTGGGCACTGGCGCTTCTTCAGGCACCGCTGAGGCCACGCTCACCACAAAGACTTTGTGTAGCCCCCCTTCCCTCTCCGTGCTGTGTCCCTCCCACTCCTCCGTTCAACTCCTTTCCTCATTTCCTCTTCTCTCCCACCTATTTCCCCCAGGCCTACTCATTCACATATGTCTCGTTTTGTCCCCCCCTATTTCCCCACTCCTCTTCGCCCTCCCTCCTCGTCGCCCTCCTCTCGCTTGTCGCCTTTCTTTTTGAGCACCCACCTCCAATTTCCGCCACCCGTCATCCATCATCCCGTCTCAGTCTTTCCCGTTGTCCACCATCCCGTCTCACTCCTTCCACTCCTTCAGCACCCCGCCCCCTTCCTCCCACATGCCTTTCCCGTCCTCCGTTTTCGATTTTCCCGCTTCCCTTGTCCCTGATCACCCCCGAAGCCCGTTCATCTTTCATCTGGACCACTTTGTTTGTTTTTTTCCTTCTCGCCCTCGTCCTCGCGCTCGAGCTCTTCCTTGCGCTCGAACTCCTCCGTCCTCATCATTTCATTATTGTCATGTTCGTCGTCCTCTCCTACCCCTTTTCCTCCTCAATTTGTCGTTTGTCCATTTCCTGCTCGTGCTCATCCTCTTTTTCGATCGCTCTCGTTTCGCTCACGCTTCGTCCTCGCCATCGTCGTGGTTCTACTCTCGTTTTCGTCGCTCTCGTCGTCGTCGCCCTCTCCTTCCTCGTTTGCCTCCTCCCTCCTCGTCCTCCTTCCTCCTGTTTATTGTCCCCCTCCCCTCTGCCTGCCCTCACCCCATCCCAGGCGCCCCTGCTCGTCTGACTCTCCAACCGAAGACGGAGCGGAGCGGACGCTGACACGCCCAGCGCGACGACGGGAAACCGAGCGCCGGAAGAAAGGAAGGAAGACGGGGAGGGGGGGGAACGACAAAGAGAGAGTGTGAAACAAGGGCCGGGCAACGCCCGAGTGCTCACGCTCGCCTCGCCGGAATGTGCCGCGCTGGCCCTCCAGCCGGTTGGGGCGGAACGATCGCAGGAATACTCGCACGCTCTGGCCGTCCTAGCTCCCCAGAAGAGCAGGGCACAGAGGACCGTTGAGACGTCCGCGGCGATGACGGGAGGCTGAGCGACGGGAGGACGAGCGACAGGTAGAAGGAGGCGGAGGAGGAGGAGGCGGAGGAGGAACGACAAGGAGGGGATACACGACGAGGCCGCCGCAGCGTCGCCTGAGTGCGCACGCTCGTAGTCTACCAGGGCCCGGGGCCCTCTAACCGGCTATGCCAGAATTCTGGCCGCTGAGCTCGAACGTTCGGATCGACCAAGCAGCCAGCTGGGCGGCGCGACGCGGAACCGCAGAGGCGACGCGGAGCCGAGCGACGGGAGAAGGACGAACGACGGGGGAGGGGCGACTACGAGAGCAGACGCGACAACCGTCGAGCATCGTTTGAGCGCTCACGCACGTTCAGCGTACGTCGGCCATCCTGGCCCTCCAGGCGGCCCAGACAACATGATGGGTATCAGGCTCGCGCACTGTGGCCGTCATGGCTCCCCAGCCGAAGTGAACCAAGCGCCCTCCAGGCGGGTTCCACAGGATTTGAAGGCGGCCTGGGGGTCTGACCTTGGGGCCCCAGAAAGTCGTTAAGGAGGGATGGATGAGACCAAATCCGCTCAAGATCTGTCCTCTGATCCCCACCGGGGTCCATCTGGTGCAATTTGTCTTACGACGACATGGGAGCGACGAACAAAATCTCTACGATGCGTGATTCACTGATGGGTATCCCCACGTTGGGCACTATCTGCCACACTGCACAACGCTGACGCCTCGCGCAGCACCGCAACAGCGCGAAATTACAATTTCATACACTTGGTGCTCGCCGCTGCGGTGCGATAGTTGCCTCTTGCCTTTCCGGCCGAACGCTGCCACGGTGTCTTACGCATAAGCGGGCAGCCAAGCGCGGCGCGCGTGAGAGAGGACCTCCCCGAGAGGACCTCCCCCCGCACCCTTCCCGCCGATACATGATGATAGGGAGAAAGGAGAGAAGAAAGTGAATCACTGTACGGAGCTGCTTGCGTCAACCAGTTGACGTCGAGTGAGCGGTAGTCACTCCGAGTCGCGCAGTCGGCGCGCCAGGAAGACTGAGCAGCATACCAAGATTCGTCCAGCGCGCGAGCGAGAATGGCGGAGGACGGGGGATAATATGGGAGGGGGGGGGGGGAAGGGAGTCCCCGTGGCGAAAGCTGACAATGTCAGTGACAATACGGAGTAGCACCCCAAAGCTCCCGCAGGGCGGGTTGGCGCCAGGAGCGTGGATAGGGGCAGAGGAATTGGAAAGGGATGATTCGCGAGAGAGCGGCCGACGTACATGTCATCAGTAAAACTGCACGAATCGTTCCGAGA